GTCGGTAGTCGACCGAACGATCCCTTTTCTAGGTTAGCTTCGAACGTGCGTTGGCATGGCAGGGATGCCTGAGAACGACGGGCATACCGTTGCCCGACGTATCGACTGTTCCGACTAGTTCGAGCGTGAACGAGTCTCCAGGAGAATCGAACCGTATAGAGGAGAGCCTGGACTAAATTTATTACAGCGAATCCATCCAACGACCTCGATACCAGGAGCCATAGGATGGATAAAGATCGATAGCACGTTCTTTTTTCTTTTGTTCCCTTTTCGTTTTTCTTCCTTTCTTTTTTCCTCGACCGTGTCGCAGATTCTTATTTAATTATTCTTTGTTTTAAACCTACCGCTCGAAAGTAAAGAAAAAAAGAAAAACGGCTCCTACGTGGAGGATCTCGGGGAATAATTCAAACACGCCGTTGGCTATCGATACGCCAAAAATAATCGAATTTTCTTTTCTATGCGACGGCGTACGAGGTCTTCAACTTTCTCCAAAGAAACGTTTCTCCTCGTTCTTCTTCGGTGACTAGAACATTGATAACGTTCTCGCGTGCGAATGCCCAAAGATATAAATTCTTCTCACAAGTATTCCTATATCTCTATAGGATAACGTCGATCGAGCGTTTTCATCTCGATTCGTCTTACTCGACGAATCTTCTCGACTAATTCATTACAGTCGCTAATCATAGATGCGCGATCAGAACAAACGAAATTTGCGAGCGAAGGTTTAGATAACGAGCGAGGGAGATCGGTCACGACTAGCTAGCTAAAGCTTCGAACGGTTCAACGAGGAGAGGAGGATCGAGAGTTAGCTGACTGTTCGGCCGTGCACCTTCGATAACGGCTACGTCAGCGTCCCTTTGTTAAGAACAACTTTTATTCGAGCCATGATTTTCCAACGTACGGAAGTTCTGGTCGAGGGTAGAAAAGGTCTACCCCGAGAGAGGACGGAAGGAAGGGACGGGAAAATGACGTTCTTGCCGATCGATTTAGTTTCATACAATTTTTTTGCGATAAAACCAAACTTTGTCCGACTATCGAGGACCGTAAAAATTCGTTGATTTTATCACACCGTTCAAACGAATTCGGTGGAGGATAGAGCGAGTTAACTACTCGCGAGTCAACTCACGAGTATGATCGCTCGATTAAATGCGAAAAAGAGGGAGAAACGAAACGTTTGCCGTGTCTTTTAATACGCGCCTTAATAAGGTCTCTCATGGCAGCATTTTAATTACACTCGTCGCTGCCGACGTCATTGCGATATTCAAAGTGAGTCGGGCAACGACATAAAAAAGATGCGAGCAAAACCGTGGACGACAAGGAGCGTTGGAAATAATTTTACAAAATAAAGATAATATCGTAGACGGTAATGTCATTAACTCTTAACATTTTCAGCCATTGAGAGTAGGGGGAGAATTTCCTTCCCCCCCCCCCCCCCCCCCCCCCCCCCCCCCCCCCCGCCCCAAGTATTATCCTTAAGATGCATGATCCGACGCGAGCACGATAGAGGGCGGCCGACAAAGAAACTGCAGAGAGAGAGAGAGAGAGAGAGAGAGAGAAAATGTTGCAAAAGAAAAAAGTTAAGAGAGGGCTAATTCAGATGAAGATCGTTAAAAGGGCTCGATTCTTTGTCCGTTTCTTCCGAATACCTTTTTCTCCCTTGTCTTTTCTCGTTGCCGTTTTACGATTTCTTACAAGATCGCCTCGAATTTTAATTAAAGTTCGGTTAAGCCACAAGACGTTTCTTTTCTCTTTACTTCAAGTACTCTTTCCTTTTCCTCGCTACTCATTCGTTTTCAGGGGCAGCGTGTCTCGAAGCTTGGGACCGGCGTTGCCGCCAGAATCGTCGGGCAACGGCACGTAAAATGGAATTAGGAGAAAAGGTCGAGATGCGAAGGCATCTACTTACGGACTCTCTCTCCTTTTTCTTTTTCTCATATTTTCTTACATTTTTACCTTGGATTTCGCCCAGGAAAGGAAATTTTTCCTTTATTCCATTTGTTTCTTTAACACGATCTACATGGTTTTAATATTACAATATATATTATTAAATTTTCTCTCTTACGGATAAAGGGACTCTTATCGAGAGCTACTCGGAAACTTTGGATACGCGATTCTAAACTCTTGATCATTGTTCCAAAGTTCGTAACTGTAATCGTGAATTTGATTTGATTCGATTCATATTCCTAAGTACGTAGATATTTGCGATAACAAAGTTTCACGGGATGTTCTCGATTTTAAATAACGATAGAAACGAGTTGCGTGCACGACGGACGAATAAGAGAGGACGATAAGGGCAAGGAGAAGGGCAAGGAGAAGAAAGCCGATCATCGAGGGATCGCAATCACCGACGGCAGAGCTGCTGAATAGAAGGAGACGAATAGTCGATAGGAGAGCTAGTCGAGATGAAAGATATTGCCCGAAGGTTGGTGAACTCTAGCGAGCTTCGAAGCATAGTTTCTCTCGCAGCAGAGTTTTATTTTACCAAGCCAAGGAAACGTTCGGCCAGTCGAACGTCTTTCTTTTCTTTTTCATTTCGATGAATGTTTCTATGAAACAACGACGATCGAATCTACTTTCTTTCTTCTCCTTTATCGTTCGATTCGTCGATCGTCACGAACGATATAACACTTGTTAGGATCGTGGGTAATGGACGAAAAAGGTGCCGAAGACAGGACACGAACGATCGAGCTAGAAAACTTTTCGAGAGTTTTCGAGACAAAAATTCACGCAGGGGAAAAGGGAAGGAAAGAAAAAAGAAAAAGAACGAACGTATCTTAGGAGAAATCTTTCCGGGCCTTTTCCGATCATCGTTTATCTCGGATTTCTACTCACGGACTTGTTTCTTCCATTCGTTTCTGTCCGGAAATTTCTTTGAAAATCGGAAGGACGAAGGCGAGATCAAGAGGAAGAAAAGTTTGTTGGAACGGAAGAAACAGTTTGTACAGATTGAGAAGACGCGCTTTCTTTCGAGCTCATCCGGGATAATGTTTCGCTTCGACGGGCTTTTCGTAAAGACACTTTTGGCCCACCTGCCTTTATCGCCAAAGAGTAGTGTCGGCTCGAATTTTATTTCTGTTTTTCTTCCCTCCTCCCACCCCCACGCCCTCTCTCTCTCTCTCTCTCTCTCTCTCTCTCTATCGTTTATCCGTTTCCTTGATAGTTTCCAAACGTTTCAAGCGTTTGAAGGCGTTCTTGTAATAATCGAACCCAGAGCCGTTGAAACACGATCGTTTACTTTATAGTTATATCTTTTTTCCATAGAGTTAGGAAAAGAAAGAAAAGTGGAAGAGCGCATCGGCCGTCATCGAGAAACTTTGCGAGGCCCATTGAAAGCGTGGAAAATCTTGTCGACTTGTTCTTGCTCTGAAAGGAAATCGTAGTTTCGCGAGGAATTGTTCCAAGAAGATCTACGAGCGGAGTCGTCGTCCTACTTACTTTTCACATCTCAGAACGTATCGTTCGAGGCTACTTATCGGCTCGCCTTTCGATTCCCCCTTTTGCGATCTCCGTCATTTTCTACGAAACTTTTTTCCGAACGATCGGCCGATATCGAATCGACGCACGCCCATTGAAACGCATTAGAAAGTAATATAACGCGTACATTAGAAAACGATATAAAACATATCGTTCTAAAATCTGTCAGCATTTCAAGCGTCGTGTTCGAGAGCGTCAACTAGACAAATGGAACGCTAATGTTTCCTACCTTGTAATAATCAAAGTTTCTGTCTCATTAATTATTGCGCCAGGGTGCATATTTATCATAGCCTCGTAGGAAACTGTCGTACGACGTAGCTCGTCCTAATTGAGCCGAATCGAGCGTAATTTTAATTTAAACAAATTATTATCCGCGAAATATTTATCGAATATTTAGTTTTTCTTACCAAAGGAAAAGACAGACGTCGAACTAATCGAACTATCGATCGCCTTTCTCGGATAAATTTTAAAGGCGCATCATTTCCTGACGTCTGATCGTGTAATATATTCATGACGTATAAGCGTGTAATGTCGTTCGACGACGATACGCTTTTGTACGCTGTCGTTCTTGTTTGTTTGCATTTTTATCTTTCCCTTTCTTCCCTTTTCTCCTCATCGTCGAGCGAGCAAAAACGTGGAAGGAGCGAAAAGCGAGAAAGATCGACGCGAATTCACGCCCGTCAGACTTTTATCGCGGCGAATTAATGCAAATGACATATTTACTTCGATCAATAACAAGGATAGTCGGCGAGCCGAGCGACTTAAAGTCATTATAAGTTCGATAAAGTTCCTTTCCTATCCTATCCTCTATCCTTTCGGACTCCACGCAGGAACTGAATAATAATTCGAGATATCCTTCTCGGTGTTGCACCTCGGAGCTAGCTCACCTACCGAGTTGCACGGCCAACTTTTGCCCCGGGCGCAGCCCTTTGAATTTGCTCTATTTATCCTAGTCTTTATGCAAATCTCCTCTCTCCTCTTAATTCTTAGACGACGAGTTAGGCGTAGTAACCCGTAGGGGCATGATCGCCATTCGCAGCTTCGCAATTAGGTCGCGGTATTGGTTAAAAGTATTGGTGTAACATTCATAATAGGATCGATATCCGAGCCACGTCACTGATCTTCGATATGCCGATCGTCGAGCAGCGATACCCAGCGAATTCGTGGAATCGTTTAATCATCGACACTTTCAATTACCGTCCTCGATGGCTTTTAATAATCGTTGCCAGGAGGGGTTCCGTGCGACTCGATGGGCAACGATAAATCCCCAGTCGCTTATACGAATCTAGCGGAAAATAGCGGATACGCCGCTCGATCCTCCATGGAATCGAAAGATCGTAATATATCCCGTAGAAACGTCGACGTTGCGGCTCTTTCTCTTTCTCTTTCTCATTCTCTTTCTCTCGCTTCGACTCTCATAGAAAAATAGCCTTTTCGTTGAAGGAAAGGGAAGAAGATTTCGTTCCCGTCCACCTTGCCCTTCCACCCTTCGTTCCACCGACGATTCGTTTTCTTTCCTATTACAGGTTGAGAAAGGCGCGTCCTGAAAATCCTCAATAATAAAGAAGAAGAAGAAGAGGAAGAAGAAGAAGAAGAAGAAGAAGAAGAAGAAGAAGAAGAAGAGGAAGGAGTCGTAGACGTCACGAGTTGTCGGTTTTCACGGACGCGACGTGTCTGGTAGGCGTTCTTTTCCTTTCCTTCTTGCTCTCTCTCTCTCTCTCTCTCTCTCCCCCTCTCTTACCTTTTCGCATGGAATCGGAAGGAGGATATTTTTCTTTGACGTTGCGGGCTTGTGTCGCGAACGAGGACGCAGCTAGGACAGAGGGTGCGCTGGTTGCGCTAGTACAACGGCCCGTATCTAGGTCGTCGTGTCGGTGGCACCGTTTTATCCTCTCTTCCTCTCTCTCGGCACTCCTCTCGGCACTCCTCTCAAAGCCGCGCGTTTACGAGCACGCTCGGAAAATCTCCATTCGCAGGGTTGCAGGCGCATGCTCTTAAACCGAATTTCAATCGGTATGGATCCTCGTCACGTCCGATTTTGATGGTCCCGGCATCCTGCCGAGTCCCAGCGTCGTCTTAAAGTCGGAGAAGCAAAGCGATAAATCGACTAGGACATAGAAAAATAGAAAGGTCGAAAGTTTAAGAGCGTAATCGGGCAAACACGGGTGTATATCTCCGAGCGACAGTCTAAGGGAAAAGTCGCATGGCCGCTTCTCGATCGTTCGAGAAAGTTCTATGCAGTGGTATATGCGTTCCTTTTCACGATGGCAGGAAGCGCGTAACGAACACCGAGGACTGCAATGGAATTGAATCGAACGTTCAAATTCTTGGCGAAGGATTCCAAAAGGGAAAATCGACTGCAAACGAATCGAGAGAAACTTTTTCCTTCGGCAAATCACATCGGCCGCGTTAAACCTTTTCTAATGTTTCCCCTCGCAATAGTTCCTTTTGCTCTTTGTTTTCCCTTGTCCTTTTATTTATCCTCGGGGAAGCTTTTCTATTTTTTCCCCGACTTTATTTTCAACCTCGAACTATTTATTATTTCCTCCGTTTTTGCCTTCCATCGATATTTATCAAGGGACAAAGAAGCTACCGATACCTCGCGAAATCGTAGATGATCGTTAAATGATTCCTCGTGCATACTCTCGATAGACGAGTAGATCGGTTGGTATTTGCGACGAGGGGGATACGAAAGCTATCGTGAAACACCACGCTCGCGTACGAACTCGCGATATTCCATACGCTTATCGATCGATCGGCACTTCCTCCGTTCGATTGGTTCTAAGAACGCTCAATGACATTGGTTTTACGGTTAAATTCGTACGACTACGATCAGGAGCCAAGGCGAGACGGTACGTTCCTTACGTGCCCGAGCAGCGCGATATAGATTCGCGCGTAGCACGTTACGAGCGTATCCTGCGTTCTACGCAACCTCCGATGGAATATACTACGTTTATATATATATATATATATATACATCGTTTTGGATATTTTTTGACGGGCTACGCGATCGATAATAACAACAATAATAATTTTGGAAGTATCGAATAGATGCAAGTAGCAGGGGCGTTAATATGGTCAGACTGGCAACCGCTAATGCTCCGGCCGTAGTTGGCAGAGCTCTCGTTGCCAGACGAATCCATACTCTTTTACGAGCAGCGCAGTTACCTCGAGTAGTTACGATCATTATACTCGGCCGTCGTTGGACTTTCTTCCTTCTGTCGCGTGATCTGGCCTTTTTTTTGCTCGGTCTTGCGTGTAAAAGCGATAAAACTGGAAGTAGCTTTCACGCGACGCAATGTGATATCGATCGTGTATATATTTTCAGAACCCATAGACCGGCTGTGTATTAAATATTTACCGAAAATGTTGACAAGTAGATTGGTAAACTAGCAAATTGTGTTATAGAAAGTGTACGAGTAATCTTTCTCCATCTTGGTCAATGGCAGCGATCAAGCTACGTAGAGCGATCTATTATCGAGAACAAACTTTCCTTCTCGTATTCGTTCGTCATTTAATACAGGCGGAAACCTTTCCACGGAGAGGAGGAAAGAATTTACGAGATGCGAGTTTAGTCGATCGTCCTTTTTTATGTTTACGAGGACAAAAATAGAAAGATTCGAAAGGACGCTTTTATCGGGATCGGGAGTTCGTCGGTCCGTTAACGTTGCGACTATCTGAGAAGTCGGGGAAATAACAAAAGATTCGAGGACATTGTCGGGAACGTTGTCTCGTCGGATGGAAGCCTGTTTGCTTCTTTCAAAGGCTCCTATCGCGACTCGTCCATCTCGATGAATCGGTCGGTACTTTGGGGAGATGCTTTTTTGGCAGATGAAATAATGGCCAAAAGGTGTTGCGATTCGATCCAATATCCGATAAGTATAGGGAAAAATAGTCTTTAAAGCGGGCTACCCGAGAAAAATGCGAACGTATGTAAAAGGCGAGGTCGAGCTTACCGCGGTTAACGATTTTCCTCTATCGCGTTGGTATTCGTCGTTGCAAAATGCCAATGCATTTGCAATGCGAAAAAAGTGACGTTTCTTGGAGTCGTATTAAGTCATTAGCGCCGCGCCGCCGCGGCGCGTCGGTACGGCGACATTGTTAATTCATTTTTTTCTCTCCTCCATAGACGCCGTAGTAGAATTGAGTTTTTCGATTCCGCCAGTTCCCTTACTTTTCTTTCGTTCGCGAAATATACGCTCTCGCGTCCATTATTATCGTCCAATGTACAAAGAAACAAAGTGTATAGGCGAGTGGAACGAGGCGCTGATGGGACAAGACCCTGTAAAAACATATTCTTAGCCCATTGAAAATTGATCAATGGCTTTCTTGTCGGCGTTAACGAGCAAAAATGTTCTTTAATGCAGTTTTCTTTGCTCTGTTTTCCTTTTTTCTTTTTTCTTTTTTTTTTTCTTTTTTCTTTTTTGTTCTTTTTTTTCTTTCGTAAAACGAAGATCCACGAGGAAAAATAACGGATAGCCGCGTGGCTTGCGGATTTGAATGATTTTCGTCGTATCTACCGAAACGCGGAACGAAGGAAACGAACGATCGAGCGAGGAAAACGGTCTGCTGGGAACCGTAGGAAAGTTTTCGCGAGCTTTTTGGCAAAGCCAAGAGGAGACTATTTCGGGAACGTATTTTACGTGCATGTATTCCCGCTGGAAAACGTTTAGCGATGCACCAAGGACCTTCCCATCCTTCCTCGTTCCTTCTTTCGCAGCCCGTGCGGTCCGTTTAAGCGCTCTCTCGTGCAGGAAAATACGGGTTCTCTCTTTGCCTCGAAAGCTTTACCTATCCGTTGCCCACGGATTCAGAGTTTCTTCAAACTAATTTACTTGTATAAAGGTAACACGAATCTCTATCTTAGAGTCTCCTTTCCCGAAGAGATTACTCTCTTACGTAAATACCTCCGAAATATCGAACCAATAATAAAATATTTTCACATTATCGGAGAAATCGAGAAAGAACTTTGAAGTAAATTCATGAGAGAGAGAGAGAGAGAGAGAGAGAGAGAGATCGCGTTTTAATTTAAACCCAATTTTACCATTTTCATCGTGTCTTAAGTATATTCTTTCTTCAAGAATACGATTAATTAAAATAGTGTATCTACGTAGAGCCGGTTAATTTCATTCGCGGTATCTTATTTGATAAACTCGTTGAAACGATTAAAAGTTGTGTACCTGTTGTATAACGCGTTTCTTCGTATCCAATCGAAACAACCGCAACGATTTAGAGAACGACGGAACAAAAGGATGCAGATGTATTCGTTACTCGTGCTAGCTCGATTCGATCATAACTCTCACGGCAACTTTCCTAATTCGGTTACGCATCTATCTACCTTTCGAATGTATCAGGAAACTACCCGACGACAAAGTTGTTACTCGGCTTAACTACGTTACCGATCTACTCGAGACTCTTTATATTCCGAATTCATCTTCGAAATTAGTGATTCCAAATTGGAAATCTGTACAGGAGGTGGTGGGGAGGGGGGAGGGCGAGCCCTAAAGATCGCGCGACGCTTATTTAATTTAGGACCGGCCGGGCTAACTCGCCGGCTAACTCGCGATTGACTCTCCTTCGGGATAGCCCTTGGCATGGCGCTTAACTCAGAGATGTCGTTTTGAAAGGGCACACACGCAACCGAAAGACACATTCTCGCTCGTTCGCTCGCTCGCTCTTTCCTTTCTACCATTGCTGCCTGGTATATTGATCCGCCTGGAGGTTTCCGCGCGCGCGGTAGCTTTTGTATTCCACCCTCGGCGCGTGTCCCTGCCTGTTTCGTGACCCCATCCTCTCCCTCGCCCTCCCCTCTCTCTCTCTCTCTCTCTCTCTCTCTCTCTCTTTCTCTCTCCGTACGAGCGGTTTAACTAAAGAAAATGCTGCTCTTCTTTCTCTTACTTACTGCAGAAAAGCAACAAATGGAAGAATATTTTCTCCAACCACACGGAATAGTTTTTACGGAGAATGACTCATTCCTCGTTCAATCGAAGAGAATCCGACCGTGGTAGAAGAGCCTGGTCGCTCTTGATCCAAGTAGCCATTAAAATAACAAGTAAGTTATCTTACCTTCTCGACTTAACGAAGCTCGACGTCCGTGCTACGTGTTTCCGTTTAGAATGGAAAGAGCGACCGTTTTCGTCGCAAAGGGCTATTACGGGAACAAACAAATCCACGCGTACCGTCGTCCTGGCTAAGCGGCAACTCCGGCCCCTGGAGTTTCGATCGAAATAATCCAATTCCGAGGTAAAACCGTGGTGCAGTCGTAATAAATCATAAAGCCCGGTCGGACCATCGAAAAACGTTGCAAAGGAAAACCTTTTTTCTTCCCGTTTCCCGTATTAAGCGAGCGAACGTTTACTTTAAAACGCAACGCCTGGATATTCCTGAATTACGTTCCGATGAAAAATATGACGGCAGAAAAGTAACGTTTTGCTGCTTTAACGATGCCAACGATGAAAATCAATATTGCACCTTGACATTATTCAAAATAACACCATATCTACGAAGGAAAGTTTCATGGTGATTTTTTTCACAGAAAAGCGAAAGAAATCGCGAATAAAAATCGAACGGACGACGAATGGAATCGTGAAAAAGATGCGAAAGAGAGCATCATCGTAGTCGCGATACGCGGAGAGAGAAGGCACAGTTGTCAGGATATGGATAATGCAAAGAAAGAA